AAGCGCTCTTGAGCTGCACGTGGCTGCGTACGATGAGGGTTCTCCTAAGCCCACACATGGGCGTTATGCTGATTGAAGGTTTCCTCACGTGTCAAGTATGCTGTATCCGTGAACAATACGGACGCAGCAGATGTGCTGTCTGTAGAGTGGATAATCCTCAGGCTCTAATAACTGGATGCGATGAAAATGTTATGCGCTCATTTGGTTTGCTACTAGTATCCTCCGGACAATGGATTGAAATAAACCTACTTGTTAAGCTTTCGCTCGCTTGGGCTGTCTTCTTCTAGACATAAGATCGCCTCCTCATTGTAGGTGTCCTCATAGTTCGCTGTCGATTCACTGTAGCTTATGTTAACCAACCAATCTCACGTAACCTGATCACATTTGCGAAGGTCGTGAAATGTGGAGCACACCTGTTCGGGTAACGTTCCGAGTAATCTTCCAGAACGTAAGGAATTCTAGACAACTGGACGTTTGGTCGTAATTTCGAACACCTGCTATACTACAAACTTTCGATAAAATATTTTCTATCCCATTAATGTGTTGCTGTTTCTGTTCTTCTCTGCCTCATTGCACCATAGCTCTCAACTACGGAATTTGCGAATGTGCATTCCTATGTGATTCTGAGACGTCTCTGTCCCCCCTACATGTTCGTCGGTCTGGTAGCGGATAACTCTGTATATATATATATATATATTATGGGGATGACTAATGTTTCAACTGTTGGCTGGCTATTTTTATTGCTCTCAATAAGATTTTCTTATCTGCGGAAATATTCAAGTAATTTAGAATATATTTTTCAACTTGTGATGCTGAACATCCCAAATTTGTGCCATTTTTTTCGGACCTTTCCCTTTATGACACAGCAGATGTCTCTAAAAGGGATAAGACGACTGGACGGTTCAATAGGAGATTTGGCTGCGATGTTGCAAGCTCATTTCCCTTTATTCCAGCATGTCCAGGAACCCAGCAATACAGGAATTCATATCCTCGAAACGTTAAATTTATATGAATTTTGAGAATTATATGAACATCCACTACCACAGGATTCTGAGTGTTGGGAAAAGCTTCCAAGGATTTAAGAGCACTATACGAGTCTGTATAAACAATGAACTTTCTGTGGCAGAGCTTTGAGATGTACAAAAGACTATAATAGACGGCAGTTAGTTCAGATGTTATGACTGAGCAAGCATGGTGCAGGCATCTGCCCTCAATGTAATCTTCAAATACAAAAGCCATCCCGACATGATCATTTGACTTTGATCCGTCTGTGTATACCGGATAATAACTGCTATATCTGTGCCTGTGCTCAGCGAAGAGTTGTCTGTAAACGATCTCGTTAGTGCTCGCCTTCACGTGATGTTTGAAAACATCAAGGAGCTGAATCCGTGAAGTTTCCCAAGGTGGAATTTCAAAATCCTGTACTGCTTGGGGGTGCATATCAGAGAGGGAAAGTTTCTCAATGACAGGGCGAACTCTTAAAGGAAAAGTAGGAACAGAGGATGGACGTGTTCAAATAGTGAGTTACACTCATTATCAAGTAAGCACAGCTTATTGGGATGTTCAGGTTGGGATAAAATATTAAAATATTGTAAAAGGGACAATTGCTCACGCCTCAGATAAAGTGATGGTTCGTTAGAGTCAACATATAGGCTCTGTACAGGAGAAGTCCTGAAAGCTCCTGAACAAATCCGCAAACCTTGATGGTGAACAGGATCCAGTTTTAACAAAACAGATGAGCGAGCGGATCCATAAACAACTGAGCCATAGTCCAGTCTAGAGCGGATAAGCGATGTGTAAATGCGAAGCATGGAGCAACGCTCTGCACCCCAGGAGGTGTTCGCCAACACTTTTAAAATATTTAGTGTTTTTAGACACTTCTTTCTCAGGTTTAAAACATGAGAAAGGAAGGTCAATTTTCGGTCGAACGTCACTCCTAAAAATTTTACTTCAGGCGCAACTGGAATAATAGTACCATTCAGATATAACTCAGGTTCAGGATGGAGACCACGCTTCCTATAAAAGTGCACGCACACAGTTTTCTGTTTCGAAAATGTAAATCCCTGTTTGTCTGACCATTCTTCGATCTTATTCAGAGCCATCTGCAGTTGCCTCTCTACGTATCTCATGTCTGCCCCTCGACAGCTAATCTGCAGATCATCAACATAGAGAGATCCCAAAATGGTGGGAGGCAGCTCTTTTAATAGAGAGTTTATTTTTAAACTAAACAATGTTACACTAAGCACACAGCCTTGAGGCACACCCTCTTCCTGTTCAAAAACATATGATAAAACAGAGCCAATTCTTACTTGAAAAGTTCTAGTGTTCAAGAAATTTTGAAAGAAAATTGGTAGGTTGCCGCGCAAGCCACTCTCATGAAGATCCCGAAGTATACCGTATCTCCATGCCTTATCATAAGCTTTCTCAATGTCGAAGAATACCGAGACTAGGTGGCTTCTTCTTACCGTATCTCCATGCCTTATCATAAGCTTTCTCAATGTCGAAGAATACCGAGACTAGGTGGCTTCTTCTTACAAATGCTTTTCGAATGGAGGTCTCTAAGAGGAGCATGTTATCTACTGTTGTTCTCCCCTTTCGAAAACCGCTTTGATAAGGCGATATAATATTATTCTTTTCCAAGAAGTAGACTAGGCGGCTGTTTACCATTTTTTCAAACAGCTTGCATACGCAACTCGTAAGGGCAATTGGCCGATAGTTGGAAGGATTTCTTGGATCTTTCCCTGGCTTAGCAATAGGAATTACAACAGCTCTCGTCCAAGCACTGGGAAAAGTATGCTCCTTCCAAACTCTATTTTAAAGAGTTAGAAGGGCATTCAGTGACTTATAGGACAGATTTTTCAGCATTTCATAATTTGTGCCATCAAAACCCGGAGAAGACCTATGTGTCTGCAATAAAGCTCTCCTTAATTCAAGCATAGAAAATTCTCTATTGTAAGGCTCAGATTTGGAAGAGTTGAATGTGATGGGATTTATTTCAGAGTGCTGCTTGATAGAGAGAAATTCAGGTGAGTAATTTCTGCTGGAAGAAACGGCAGCAAATGCCTCACCAATAGTATTCGCAATTTCTTCTATGGAGCTAATCACACAGCCATCTTTTTCCAAAATGGAAAGTGAGTGGTCTTTACATATTCCGCATGCTTTTCGAACTCTTTCCCAAACCCGCTTACTAGGCGTAGAGGATGTTATTGACGACACATATGAAATCCAAGAATTCCTTTGGCTCTACCTTCTTACTTTTCGTGCATTTGCTTTGGCTCTTTTATAGGCTATGAGGTTTTGTAGAGTAGGATATCTACGAAAAATACCCCATGCTTTTTTCTGTTTTTTCAGTGCTTCATGACAATCGCGATTCCACCACGGTTTCGAATATTTCAGTATTTTTTCTGACTTTCTAGGAATGGAAAGCATAGCTGCCTCAATAATGGTATTAGTAACAGCTCAAGGTGTGACATTAATTTAATAATCTCATAGCTAATTTACTTTATAAAGTTACAGAAATTGAAACTGCAATTAAATACCTTTAATTTGATCTTTTGCAAGTCCTTGATTATTTTATAAAATCAGAATATTACAAAGACAAATTCGAATATACTTACTAAGCTTATTATGATCAGTTGCTATATTCCCAACATACTTGAACGAGGAGTATGCTGTTAGTATGAATTATAGTAAAATTTTATTGATTCCAGAATTACTCATTGTTATAGGATTCTTGGATAGCTCTTTTGACTCATGAACGTACGTTAGGTAAAAATATTTTAGCTTTAAAGAACGTTAAATTTTGAAAATGCAAATCTTAATTATCCCATAGAAATAAAGTATATACTTCTCATAAAGAAATGAAGATGTGGCTTATCTGAACCTTGTATTTCGCAATTCTGAATGGTAACACAAACAGTGTGGACGTTTATGTTTGCTCTTATTTCCTTAAATTAGCCAGACGTATAACGGGGATTTAGCATAAGGATGATAACATTATTCTCTAATGTAAAACCACTGCTTAGAAGGACGATTGTTGTTTTGAAGGTGCATATTTTTGTTTCTTCCTCTGAACAAAATAGCATACTAGACATTCGCAGACATGGCGAATTGAAACCTTTAAAGGCTTAGGGCTGTTTGTATTGCAAATATGTGGAAAGCCAAAAACAAAGATATATTTTACATAAAATCTAGACGAAGGGAAAACGCATAGGGGTATGGACCATGCCCAGATGGTCCTATGAAAAGAATCTGCTGGAGCTTGAAAATAAGGAACCTATAAATTAAGTTTCACTGTTCATAGAAAATCCGTAATTTAAAAAAAGAATTAAATTTCCAGTGGCGGACACTAACCGTTAGAGGCGTTGGTCATTACTAAGCCGGAAGGGGTGGTAGCTTTATTTTAAAGGCACCAAATAGGTTGCCACCGTTACTTATTATGAGGGGATAGACAATTTACATCCATGCCTTCTCCGCAATTCGATTCCGGGTCCGTGGGTCAACACCACCGAGAGTTAAGCCTGCTACCTCTCGGTCGTGTCGCTTCGCTTTCCCGTGTCGTCAGAGCCACTAACCGCTTTCTGGGCGGCATAGTTTTAAAACTAGAGTTAGAATAAAGAAAATTTCACTTCGATATTTAATACCAGGGTATTTGCATTGTTTAATTAATTTTGCTACAGAAATTAAATTAACTACATGATATTTAATGAAAATTTCAGCTAAGTAAAATTCTGGCATTTGCGAATAGATTAATACAATAATTAATAAAGTAGTAATCTATAGGGAATTATAAATACGATTAGGCTATACGAATATTTTTAAAAAATTGCATTTGTAATACTGGAATCAAAAAAGTATCTCATTTAAGGAGTTTCAAACCAATAATATAGTAATTATTAAATTCATTACCTACAGTGACAAGCTCATAATACATGATTATATGCAACAAACTGTTATATTCTTATTAACGTTCTTATTAAAAATATGATAAAATATTTCAGGCATTGATTGATATAAAAGACTCTTCGAAGTATTCTGAAGTGATTTTCATCAGAATGGGTAAGTAAAATTTATTATAATTATTTCCTTTGTCTGGCGTGAGCAGATACTTTCTTTGACAATTTCAAAGTAAAATCTACTTTTCAGTGAGTATTTGTGTTGCGATATAGCTCAAAATACTCAGTTATGAGTATTTTTAAAGTTATAAAAAACAGAAAACTACATCGAGTGCTTTTTCTACTCATTCTGTGGCCCCAGACGTTAATTTCATTTTATAAATTCTACTAGTTTTTTTAAATTTTAAATAAATAACTGGCTGCACTACGGGAAAACCATAATTGTATTTGATATAACTATGCCATGTTCAGCTAGAACTGTCAAAAAATAAAGCTCGAAAGCTTACTCATTCCGTTTTGTATAACATGGATGGATACTGCACTAATATTAGTAGTGATGTTAATAAGCGTGACATAAAACTGAATCCAGAATTCTCAATTGTGAACTTGAAATTATTGTAAATGAAATATACAAGGTCTAAAGGAACTAGTGTTTAACGCGACTCGTAAGAACCTACAAAACTAATATTTATCATGATTCTTTTTTGTTCACTATTATTTCTTTAACAGTTGCAGCATTTCTTCGGTGTGTTCGTTTTCTTACACTGTATTGCTATTAATCAGGGCCGGGATGAGGGTAAGGTACTTGCCTCAGGTGAACAAACAGAAGAGGCGCCAAATTAGCTATTCGATCAAAAATTCAGAAATTTTTTTTAAACTTATGCTTTTTAACTTTAAATTTCGGAATACATCAGTGAATATTAAAAGAATTTTGTGTTATAAACAATCCGGGTAACAAAAGAAAAACTAATAGCATTAATTTATTCTTAAAAGACATAAGCTTTCTCAGTAGTTTCACAGTATATAATATTTTCTAACATTAAAATTTGTTACTGAAAGTATCTTTAAGGAACTAAATTACACTTTGTTGTGTAACGAATTGTATAAAGTATCATAGAAAATATTATACTGCTGACATTAGTCGTTCTGAGCTCTTTACTTGGTCATAACAAACTTGCCAAAGTCCGCTAACTGAACATAGACGGCGACAAAACTGCTGAGTTTTAGAATTTCGTGAACGCCTTCTGGAACAGCATCCGAAGAATAAACAAAAGTTTTCTTCAAACATAAATTTTGAGCAGATGCTTTAACATTATTTACTATTTTTTCAAAAAGCATATTTTTAATGTTTTCCATTTTAAAATTGTTAATCATCATATATGTTTCTGGAATATACAAAATTATAATTAAATATTACTGTAAGAGTTTTTGTATTTTCATTTGAAATAGTTACTTTTTATGAGCATAAAATATATATAAATATAGTTAATCTGTTCTATATGTATGATTATATGTATATACATGCAATAATGCATATATACAAATCTTGCAGCTATAGCGCAGGTCGGGTTTAAAAAAAAATTGTATTCTAATTTTTTCTTTCGAATTTTTAGCCTATTTATATATATATATTGCACGTGTTTGCGTAATGTTATGTTTTCTAACATCATTTAGTATTATTTATTTATTCTTCTCCCCCCTACAAATAGGTAAATAAATAATCTTGCATTGTATACAGAGGCACACATTTACCGCTTTGCTTCAGGTGAAAAAATATGCTTGTACGGCTCTGCTATTAATGATCGAATACCCACAAGAATATTTTCATTTAAAGCTTAATGCAATGACTTACTATGCAAGTTCGCATTTGCCGCTACCACAGTTTCACACCCTTTCGTGGAAGTTTTCTAATACTAAATATTAAAATGCGTCTTTCTCGGCAAAATGAGACTGATGAGCATAGAGAAACAAGGCTTGCCTCAGATGCAAGACGAAAAAGCCTGTCTCGACAAAATGAGTCCTTTGAAAAAAAGCAGGAGAGAAATGGGAAAAAAAGAAAAACGACAGAGTAATGCTGACCGAAACGCAAAAAGGAGTAAAATAGTTTCAAACGGAGAAACTTTAAATTTTTGAGAATTCCTGTGGTGACATGATGACATGAATATTAAATGTGAACATTGTCAGTCCTTAAACTTCAAGTTAGAAACATTGTATACAGGGGCGCCCATTTACCGCTTATATGCAGGTACGGCTCTGCTATTAATGATCGAATAGCCACAAGAATATTTTCATTTAAAGTTTAATGCAATGACTTACTATGTAAGTCCGCTTTTGCGGCTACAGTTTCACTCCTTCGTGGAAGTTTTCTAATACTAAGTATTAATAATTCACGTAAGTAAATACCTAGACTTACCAAATACTAAAATTTACTGAAGTAAATGTCTCGATGTATTTTGAATCATCCTTTCTGCAGGAGGGCGAACAGCAATTTCCTTAAAACACAGTGTGATTTCTCATTTCACAAGATGTTCTAGCAGTCTAGTAACGTTTGCCGATACGTTTTACACAACCGTAATGGATGGGCAGGTTTCATTCAGGTATCATTCCTTACGTGTTGCAAAATCGTCGGTAGAATCCAAGAGCAGGCACATCGCTATGCATGATACAAGAGTTAGGATAATATTGCAGTACCAATTAAAAGTCATTTTCATAAACCATATCATTCACTTTACGGTACAAACTTCATGAATGGAATGATAGAATTGTAGATGATGTCGATTACATCGCGTGAAGCTTCACACAGCTCATGTCGTGCATTCATTTTCAGAGTATTAGCTAACGTAGATTTACAATGAGTACTTTATTGTATTTACTCGTAATGTATCATGATGCATATCGATGATTAACAGTCGCTATTGTGAATGTCCAGTTATTAATGGCAATACAGTGTAGATCATCAGCTAGTATTTTGTCTCTGAATGTTCTTAATTCATACTGAATAGCAAGATAAACTTGTGTAACCAATATTCGATATTTTAGAGAAATGCTAATAAATATTTAAAAAAAATTATTTCTGTTAGGCTTGCAGTAAATGTACTACATCGCATAACAATTTTTAAAACTCTCTCATATTACGAAGTAATTTCACAGATGTTTCAAAACCTGAGGAAGTAAAAGTTGCTCGGGCAATATTGGAAGATACAGTCGGAAATGATGGCCTTAACCTTCTGATCAACAGTGCTGGGATATGCCAAGTACAAGCTTTTCCTAATGTTTCAATAGAAAACTTACTTCAACACTTCAACACCAACACAGTAGGACCTGTAATGGTAAAACAGGAAAAACAAAAACCATTCATAATGGCCACCCTCGTGTCATGGAACTGTCGCGGTTTCCACCGAAATTTGCTTGACATCAAATCTATAATAAATGCGTACCATCCTGTGTGCTTAGCAATACAGGAAACAAATCTGAAACCAGAACACCATGCAAAACTTCGGAGGTTTTCTTTCGTCAGGAAGGATAACCTTGCAGGTGAGCGTGCCAGTGGAGGAGTAGGTCTCCTCTCCTCACTGGATTATCCCTCAAATATACTTCCTTTGACGAAATCCCTCCAAGTTGTCGCTACTCAATAAATTTTGATATTGTTGTTTCATTTGTTTCTTTGTATTTGCCTCCAAATGAGCACATTTATCAGCAAGATTTAAATAATCTAATAGAGCAGCTGCCTGAGCCTTTTATTATAATAGGAGATTTTAACGGCCATAGTCCACTCTGGGGTAGCAAAGATACAAATTGCCGAGGAAGACAAATTGAGCAGATGATCGAAGATCACAGCCTTTGTCTCCTAAATAATGGGCAAGATAAGTACTTCCATGAGCCTTCAAGGACATTCTACGCTCTCGATCTTGCCATCTGTTCACCATCTCTGTTGCCATTTTGCACTTTTAGTGTCGGAAATGACCTGTACAACAGCGATCATTATCCTATTTTTGTGTCTCTTGCACGAAGAGGAGCAAACCCCGTGTCGAGAGTCCTTCGTTTTATCCTGGACAGGGCTGATTTCGAGGTAACTCCTGTCACTCAAGTCACTCCTGTAACTCAACCTAGTTCTGAAACTTCTACAGCTAAACCAGTCACTCAACCTAGTTCTGAAACTTCTACTGCTAAACCAGTCACTCAACCTAGTTCTGAAACTTCTACTGCTAAACCAGTCACTCAACCTAGTTCTGAAACGTCTACTGCTAAACCAGTCACTCAACCTAGTTCTGAAAAGTCTACTGCAAAAAAATTACGTACAGATTCAAATAAAAAAAATCATAACAATAGTCCCCGTTTCCTAGTCATCTCTAGTCCTTCTGGCGATATACATAAGATGTCTCCTTTCGTAATAAACAAATATATCCTAGAGTTTATTGCAGAATAAAATGCCTTAATTGCATGGTAAACAGTAGATCTTTTGAAGTTTTTCTATGTTGCGTAAAATGCAGATTTAAATTTTTGATATTGATTGTCATATAAATGGCAATTACTGTTTTATTTTGCTTTGAAATGAATGGTTAGTAATAAAATTCTGGATGAGACAACCTTTAACATGCGCTAGAATTTACAAAGTTTAATTTGGTGCTGATTTCAATGGGTAAATTTCATTCATTTTACTGAATTTTGCGTAAAATAATACCAATGAACCATTGCAAAATATATTCAGAACTTTTTTTTTTAATCTAAAAGGGCTATTAGTTTTGAAATGTGACTTCATATCGTCAGTCGTAAACTTGTTTCGCTTTTCATTCAAGTCTTGCCATTTGGCAAAATTTAACATATTTACCTTTAAAATCTAATATATTATTGACTAACAAGCCAAGCTATTTAAAAGCATTATACACAGTTCTTAACAATGCCTTTTTAAATTTTTAATCTGATTGATTTAAAATGCATTTAATTCATGATATATCTAATTGAAAACATTTTAATATTTCTACATAATTATATGATATATTTCTTCATTTTTCAAATATATAGAAGATATATAACTTTCTGGTGTCAGTATCTTATAAAATGTTTTGCTATTTCCACTGCCCCATCTGTATTGATAATCTATGCATTCATAAACTTTGAGCCTCTTTTGAGTGACTGCTAAAATCTGAGGCCTTTCCAGATTTTTTTTTTAATTGTGTGAGCAGAAAGATAGAATTTTAGAAGAGCTTCTTGAGTTAGCTTTTGAAATGATATAAAGAATTGTTAACATAATGTCAAAACATTTTTACAACTAAATATTAAATATATAAAAAGCCTGCAGCATTCTCATGTTACGAAAACATATTTATTTATTCTGAGGCTAGGAATTGATTTAGTTTTAAAAATACAATTTATTCCTTTTAAACAATTTCCCAACAATGTCATCAAAACACTATAAATTCCTTACATGTTTTAAAGAAAGATGATTCATTTATATAAAGATTATATAATGGCTAATTTTATTATTCAATTTTTAATACAAATTAACTGAAATTAGAAACTGATTTTGTAAAATAATTTAATTATGAATAATTCAATTTGGGGGCTATTGGATGTTTAAAAAATGATCAAAAGATTTTTATATCTTAAAAATAAAAGCAAAATTTTCAGTTTTAATATTTTGTATTAATAATTCACTTTAATTTTAATATAGGGTCAGTTTTAATATATTCACAAATTCAGATTTAAAAACAAAATAAGTTGTATAAATATTTTCAACATTTCTGATTTTTCCATAGTAACCATAAGAGAAGGATTTGAGACTATCTTTGTAAAAAAAGTAGGTTTTAGGTCATTACACCTTCACATACTTTCACTGGAAGTTTCCTCTGTATATATACTGGGATGTGACACTAAGTAGTTGAGAGTATGTATTTAAGAGGTTAAAGGGATATTGTAACTAGTGTTTCAAATCCTGATAACACATCCCATACGCTGTCGGTGGCACGTAGATAGGATGTCCTAAGGATATACTGGGATGTGACATTAAGCGCTCAGGAGGATGAGTTTAGGAGGAAATTGGGATATTACGGGATGTCCTGAGGATGTAGTAAGTAGGACTTTAAATCCTAATAACAACCCATACGCTTTCGATGGGACATAGATAGGATGTTTTTAGGATATAATGGGATGTGCTTAGGAGGTTTGTGGGATATCCCGGGATGTCCTGAGGATGTAGTAAGTAGGAGTTCATATCCTAATAACATCTCGCACGCTCTCTCTCGATGGGACTTGGTTAGGATGTCCTGAGGATATCCCGGGATGTGACCATTAAGCACTCGGGAGGAGGTGTTTAGGAGGTTCGCGGGATATTCCGGGATGTCCTGAGGATGTGCGCATATCCCGCGAGCAACATCCTTGGGATATCCCAAGGATGTTTCTGTGCTATGTGGGTACATTTACTCTTTTCCTTTTTGAACTTAGATCACCCCTCTTTCTTTTACTAATAATATTAACTATATAACACTTCAAAACCCAGACACTATTAAACATTATTTCTCTATTCATAATATTAACTATACATAAACTACTTTTCTCAAAAACAGTAACATTATCTCTCTCCTATCATATATTAATATATCAGTATCACTTATCATTTTTATTATTCTCTATTGAATATGCTTAATTTCATTGAAGTATTATTTTGCCTACTTCCCGATATCAATACAATTCATCTTTTAAGATTGTGATATGTTAATTTAATCATGTGTATTATTTCCTATTAATAGTCAATATTATAAAGATTTAATTCTGTATTTTACATGTAGTTATACTTTTATATTGGCATATTAATTTATATTCTAAACTAATTAAGTCTAAAAACATGTTTAATGTCTGTATTTATTACGTAATTTTGATGTTCTTGAAAATTTTATGTTCAATCTTGTAAATACACATTTTCAAGAAATGTAATAAATATCTTTATACTATGTAACGTCTATTATTGTAAAAATCGCCATCATCGTACACAGTCATGTACATATTCGGTAAGGAGAAGCTACCGACGCTACTTCAAAACATGTTTAATGTCTGTATTTATTACGTAATTCTGATATTCTTGAAAATTTTATGTTCAATTTTGTAAATACACATTTTCAACAAATGTAATAATTATCTTTATACTATGTATTATTGTAAAAATCGCCATCATTGTACACAGTCATGTACATATTCGGTAAGGCGAAGCTACCGACGCAGCCCTGTCGGAAGAACGGTTAAGCTAACGACCTTTATCTGAAAGTAAAGAGGGTAATCTCACAACGGGCAAAAAGAAGTGTGGTTTATGCGAGGACGGGAGCACGCTCGTGTGAAAGAACTTTGGCTTATATTTTTGTGTTCCTTTGGTTTTTTTTTAATAACTGGGAGGTTAAAATGTATTTGTTGTGCGGTTGATGTAATTTTAAACAAAATACTAATAATAAGATTAAATAGATAAAGAGATAATTTCTATTTCAAGAATGAAAATATAGCTTATTTTGTTATTGTTAAACATGCGTGTGCCATTTTATTTTTTCGTGAGTGGAATTGACAAATAACATTCATAAGTGGATGAAAATGAAGAGTCGAATTGGTCAAGACTTAGAAATGATTGAAAGGTCTAGCATCATGACAGTGGTGGCAGGGAAGGGATCCTTTGAGGAAGCCAGAGAATGAAAACAACTATAAGCTGTGTAAGTTGAAAAGGGTTCCTATTAGTGTGAATGGAACAATAGCGAAGGCCCTGGTTGATTCAGGAACATAAATTACAGTGGTTACGAAAGAATCAACCAAAAGTCTCCAACTGGAGAAAGGATGAGTATATATTTAAAGGGTATTTTTGGTCCAGCTGTTGAATGCCCTTTGGTAAACATTCCACTGAGTATCACAGTAGGAGAAAGTGCCAGTGTCACACATAAAGAGATTTTATGTGCAGTTGCAGAATCACTGGCAGAGGATGTGCTGCTTCCTCCAGAAGTGTTCACCATCTTTGGAGGTCGGTTACATGACACAGGTGAAGTGGTAGAAAACTTACATGAAGAAACCACAAACATCCCAGAGGTAAGGAGGAAGGAAAAGTCTGTAAAGGTAAACGCAGGAAAACTAGAAGGAAACACTACTGTGGCAAGGAATCTCGATGAGAAAGGAAAGGTGGAATCAAATAAAAGCCAAGAACCCCAGTCGGGAAGAATATGTACGGCGGATGTATATAGAAGAGAGCAGGTGACTTGCGAATCTCTGGTAGGAACATGGGAGAATGTTCAGAAAGGAAAGGAGAATTATTATATTAAAACATGGACACTCAATTAAAATATGACGAACAGATAAACATTACAATTAAAACAAACAGGCTCATTTTCAGCTTTGAGAAGATAGTTATGTGTCACTCTAGTGTGACCAATTCTGAGGCAAGTCAAAAGAACTTCCTCCTTACGATTTCCACCAAAATCCCAATGCCCAATTCTAGACTTGACATTTCTCAACTTGTTCTGATGCTGAGCGTCCCAAATTTACTGCCATTTTTCTCGGACCTTTTCCTTGATGACACTGCAGATACCTCTAAAAGCTATAAGGCGACTGGACAGTTGAACAGCAAATTTTGCTGCGATATCTGCAAGCTCATTTCCCTTTATTCGAACATGTCCAGGAACCCAGCAGTACAGGACTTCATATCCTCGAATCGTTAAGTTTGATGTACGTGTGAGCAACACGTGCATACGAAAATATCCCTAACATTAACTAGGAAAGCCGAAATCTTAGTTAAGATAGACATGTTACAATTAATAATCAAATGTAATAAGGAAAAGTAACAGTTGCCGGGTACATTATAATGGCTTAAGAAATTCCGAGCACAGTACAGATGCGAGTACACAAGATCACATATTTCGGCGAAGCAGAGACGCACACATTTGTTGAAGTAGTTCCACTTGACTGCCGGGGAAAAATCTTCTCTCTCCGTCAGCCTGTAGGTTTGCCAAACGGGTTTACTGTTTCGCCAATTTGGCGCTTTTCTGTACAGTTTTTAAGTCCGTATCGCCTATTGGCGCTGCCGCTGCATACTCCCTCCGCAGTGTCACGAAATGTGACATACCGATGCGGGGGTCGGATTAATCGTCCAGAAACGGGTGATACAATTGTCCGAAGTTTTTTTCACACTCTTGGAAGCAACTTGAGAAGAGTCCATGGTTACAAAAGCGGGTTTCAGTCTGTCTATAGAGATCGTTTGCTTAGTCCCTTTTATTTCGAGATCAAACGTTTTATCTCGTCTTTCTAGCACCTTAATGGTCCATCATAAGGAGTTTGAAGTGGTTTTCTAACTCCGTCGTGTCGAACAAACACATATGTGGACTTGTGAGGCGTGGATGAATGAAACATCTTCGCTGGCCGTGGCTAGAAGTAGTGGTCGGGGGCGGACACTGGCAAAGTGAGATTTTAAATCCTCCACAAACTGTTTGGGGGACGCATCCGGAGTGTCGAATTGAAAAATTCTCCTGGGAGACGGATAGTCTTTCCATACACCAGTTCAGAAGTGGTTGCTCCTATGTCCTCTTTGAGAGCGGCGCGGAACCCATCAGCAGCGTTGGAAGGACACCACCCAGTCACTGGTATCGTGCGCTTTTAAGGCAGCTTTCAAAGGACGGTGGAATTCCTCGATCAGTCCATTCGCCTGTGGGTGGTACGGAGACGTCCCTGATCCTCTTCATTTCCCAATAATTGGGAAAGGGCTCGAAATAAGCCGCTTTCAAACTGTCGCCCTTGGTCGGTAGTAATAACATCGGACAACCAAATCGAGTAATCCAGTGGTCATAGAAAGCCTGTGCTACTGTGCGTGCTGTTATGTCTGGTAAGGGTACTGCTTCGGGCCATAGTAAATCTATCTATCATAGTTTAGACAGTAATAATTATTTTGAGAAGGAGGTAGGGAACAACAAGGTCAAGTGGACGTGATCAACCTCTGTGATTGGTCTGGAACTTCATTAACGGGGGTTCTAGTATGCCTGCTTACTTTTGCTTTCTGGCACGGAATGCACTGCCGTGCCCATTTCGCGCAATCTTTGCAGATGGAAGACCAAACAAACCGTTAACATACTAACTTTGTTGATGCGCGAATGCCGGGGTGTGAGACAAATGGTGCAAGGTGGCAAAAACTTTCTCACGGGTGGGGGGGGTGAGTGAGTGATTATGGCGCAAAACCAGAGATGATTATGACGCGCCAAACCAAAAGATGAATGATTAAATTGATGACATTAAAATTCAATAAATAAAAACAAGTAGATAAATGTACCAAATCCGAGGATGAAGTCATATAACACAAGTTAAACACATATTAAAATTCAAGATACAGTCTTCAAACAATTACATTTGGTAATAAAAGCCAATATCATTTTAAATAAAAATAAATTAGAATTGACCTCTCTTCCCGATTAAAGGTCGAGAGGTAATCACAGCTATTAAAATATTTTCTGGCGAAGACTATTAAAAAATGGACACTCAATTAAAATATGACGAACAGATAAACAAACATTACAGTTAAACAAACAGGTTCATTTTCAGCTTTTAACAGGTAGCTATGTGTCACTCTAGTGTGACCATTCTGGGCGAGTCAAAAGAACTTCCTCCTTACGATTTTTGTTAATTCCAGTGCTCATTCTAGTTTTTACATGTTAATTTATTTGAACTGAACATCCCAAAGTTGTTGCCATTTTTTTCGGATCTTTTGTTTCACAACACAACAATGTCTGCAAAAGTGATGAGACGACTGGACAGTTCAACAGCACATTGCTGTGATATCTGCCAGCTCATTCCCTTTTATTCCCACATGCCCGGACCCAGCAGTACGATATCATACCCACGATTCATTAAGTTTATGTTTTGAGAATATCCATATTACTGGATTTTGAGTATTAGGAAAAGCTCATTGATTTAAGAGCA